AAGTCTCCCATATATCTTTTTCATATTATTTTCATATTAGTCAATAATTATACTGAAATTAATAAAAAATGAATAAATATAAATTTACACACATTTACACAAGTAAATAAACAGAATCAACGATGGGCTTAAAATCTGCAGAATACTGCGCGTGCAGATTTCGTGTGGGCCTATTGGCTTAAATGCTCAGCGCTGGAAAACGTAATGTAAATAAAAATTATTGGTACATTTTAAAACATCCACTAAGCAGTGACTACTGGATTAACCTGGTAGCTGTACGGTCAGTGTATCTTTTGGTCATTGGATTTTCATTTTATTAAAGACTTGTTTTTTACATTCTGAAACCAGATAAACCGACTTATTCACACTGACGCAATGCTGCCACACACACACACACACACATACACACACACACACGTGGGATTCCAAACGTATGTCCAATGTTACTGTCACTCTTGAAGTGGAAGTGATTTTAACAAAAAACTTTACTTTCAGATAAATGTTCAGTAAAGCAATGCAAATAATGCACATATTGTCAAATATGTTGTTCCATTTAAAATGCTGCCATGTAAAAAAATTATGAAATATAATGAAATATTAATAATACTATATATATATATATATATATGAAAAAGTAAAAATTTGCCAAATTTTGATTTTTGTTTTAAAATACAAAAACAAAAATAAAAAAACGTCTCGTTTTTCGTTTCTAAAATGAAAATCCAATGACCAAAAGATACACTGAAAGATATTTGTTCCACTTAAAAACTAAAAATTAAAAAACAAAACAATTCCTTTTGACATTGATTGGAAAAAATAGTACCAGTCACACAATAAGATTTCATTAATTGATTTTATTTAATGTATTTTCTGAGCTAGGACAGAACAACACTTCTACAGCATGTACAGATCATGCTGCAGTTCAACAATTACTATTGCATTATTAAAAAAAAATCTAAAGTTGTGGTTTTTAGCATTAATTAATGGACTGTGAGTTAGCTAGAACTAATACCAACAACAATTACTTTCATTAACATAAAAAAATGAATGCACAATATAATAAAAATTGGTTATTTATTTATGACAGAAAACACATTGTCGAAACTTATTGTAAAGTGTGACCGAAATACATTATGAAATGTGGGGATATGATATGCATCATAATACAATACAATAAATTGTGAAATAGCGATGTTTCTTTTTTCCTTATAACTTAAGGATTTAATTTTAGAGTTATCATAACTAAAGTAATTGCAATAAAAAATACAGCTATTAAAAAAAAAAAAAAAACTTTATAAGACTTTATATATTCTTTTTTTATTGGAATTAATGTTTTGGTATTTTGTTATTTACAAATTTTGACAACAAAAATGCTCTCTGTCTGACAGAACAAACATTTAGGCCCTATTTTCTTTTTCAATAATCAAAAAAAATGATAATTTTGCTGCCACTTCATTTTAAGGTACTCGCTGTTAACCAGATGTGGGAGTAAGTCACACATTTGCAAGTCACAAGCAAGTCTCGAGTCATAACCTTTAAGTCTCAAGCAAGTCAAGTCAACTTTTGCCTGACTCGAGTCAAGTCCAATCGAGTCACTGCTTATCTCAAGTCAAGTCAAGTCATGCAGTAGCTTGGTCTAACAAGTCACTTTCAAGTCAATCAAATTTTTATAGATTTTTGAAAGTTTGCAATTTCTTTTGCAATTTATATTTACATATATAACTTTCGGTATTGTATTTAATGCATAGTATGTAACAAACAGTTATTTATTTAACAAAAACAAGTTACTTTGAGTAATTTAACTCAAGTTCAAATTAAGTATCAAGTCATGACAGTCAAGTCAAGTCTTTTTTTGGATATTTGTCAAGCAAGTCCTAAATTTTGCGACTTAAGTTTGACTTGAGTCAAGTCATGCGACTCGAGTCCCACATCTCTGCCATTAGCAAAACATTAAGATTTACTGTTCAGTAAGCAAGTTGCTTTACATTTTAAACTGTTTCTTAATAGTACGTTAGTAGTTAGGTGTAGGTATTAGTTAGGATTAGGGATGTAGAATAAGATCATACTTTAATAGTAATAATTAACTGCCAATAATAGGCAGGTTATAAGCCAGTAGTTAATAGTGGGAATTGGTACTTTAATTAAACTGTTTTTTTCTAGTGAAAGCTGAGATTCCTCCTGTAAATCCACCCATTGAGCAGCTGAATTCTAGTCGACTGCTGAACCAAGGTGGTTCGCACCTAGGAACCATCCAACTTAATGGAGGGGAAGGTAAAATCAGAAGTATACTAGAGATGCTGGTATTTTAAAGGGAACTTGTTCTGGATGCAAACCTTTGCTTTTGATTTGTTTGTGAATTTTCTACAGTGAATGTGAGAAGTGAAGAGCAGAAGCCACAAACATCCATCAAAGAAGGCCCGTCGTGCTCTTCTCTGCTGTCAGACATAAAACAGGCCATCGGTGCAGAAAAAACCCGTCAGATGTTTTCAGCCTTGCAGGCGTATAAAACGTCAAACAATTATGAACAGATGGTTTCAACTGTTGTGAGCTTATTGACCGAGAGAGATGAAGACATCGCTCTACTAGAACGTTAGTCTGTTCTTTTTTTGGATTCTTCTTCAGCTTTTTAATATTGTCAAAAATGTACAGTTGAAGTCAAATTATTCACCCTCCTGAATTATTAGCCCCTTGTTTATTTTTCCCCAATCTCTGTTTAACAGAGAGAAGTTTTTTTTCAAGACATTTCTTAACATAATAGTTTTAATAACTCATCTAAAAACTGATTTCTTATGTCTTTGCCATGATGACAGTAAATAACATTTAACTAGATGTTTTTCTGGATACTAGTATTCAGCTTTAAGGTAAATGTAAATGCTTAACTAGGTTAATTATAGTAATTAGGCAAGTCATTGTATAGTAGTGGTTTGTTCTGTAGACAATTAGAAAAATATTGCTTAAGGGGTTAATAATATTGACTTTTTTTTTTAAATTAAAACTGCTCTTATTCTAGCTGAAATAAAACAAATAAGACTTCCTCCAGAATAAAAAATATTCTAGGAAAAACTGAAAATGTCCTTACATCATTTAGGAAATATTTAAAAATTAATAAATACAAATCACAGAAGGGCTAATAATTCTTTAGCTGTATATTTTAACTGACTTTAAATGTATCTTTAAAAAAAAGAAGCTAAACTTGTTTGTTTTTTCCGGGTGGATTTAGGTTTATCTGTGCTCATTCGACCACAGCACAGGAAGCAGTTTGGTGAGCTGTTAAAATCCTTGACTGGAAATGATTCTGCGGTTGTCCAGGATTCAGACATTGGATCAAGTCAGTTAAATCAAGGTATATATTTTTTATATTGTATGTAAATATTTAATTCTTTAAGAGTGATAGTAACTATGCTAATATTCTTCCAAAATTGTTGCATTTTTTTTCAGCAACTCAGTTATCTGGAGGAAAGACTCAACGCAAGATATCGTCCTTCTTTTCATGAATGCTGCTAGGTTTTGAGATATTAAATCAGTATCTTCTTGTTATTTACATATACCATGCATACAGGGCTTTATGCAGGAGAGTGTTAAAAACTTATATTGCACATCTGACATATTACAATGCATTAAATGTATTTACAATTTTTTGGTTTATACTTAAGATCATTTTTTAAAAATAAATAAATGAATTAGTTTTATACTTTACATTTAAATTGTGTTTTTTAAATTCTTTTGAAAAAAAAAAGTCATTTTAATAAAGGATATTGTGAGTGATCTCATTCATTTGTGATTTCATTTTTCCTTTGCCAGCACTTTTTTTTTTTAAATAAAAATTAAGTTTTGTTTAGTTTTGTTTTAATTTAATAATTTAGTTTATATTTAATTTGATGGTAATTCTCAAAAGAAAACAAAAGGGTTCCAGTTTTTAAATTTGCTTTAATGAATATCTAATTATGCTAACAGTCAATGATATAAAATATGATAAAACAATGGTTTATAAAAAAGAAAACTTTTTAAAAAATAATCAGCTTTTTTTCAGTTATCCTTTATTAGGGGAAAATTTTCACCATTTTTAAAAATGTTTTCAAACACATTTAAAATTTTACTAAAAAGAAAAAAGACTACTCTTATTAAAAGTCTAATCAAAACATCAAACATCAAAAATATGCCTATTGGCGAAGAAGAGAAATACACAAGAAAAAAAGCTTATAAAAAAACTAACTGGCACTGGATGTGTAATTTTGTAATTTTGGTTGAACCTTATAAGTACAGATACGTTAGAGTGAACTTTGCACAATATGAATTGTGTCATTCTGTTGCACATTTTGTATGTTTTATATTTTATTTCATACAGGATAATAAAATATAAATACTGTATAAAATATAATTGTATACATACACAAACACACAGACATTATCCAGTCTATACTATACACAATATATTAACAGATTAATATAAGACATGACAGTCCTGGTTATTAGTCTATGTATTTATTTATGAAAAAAATAAGTAAATATTTTTTTCTTTCACTTTTGTCAATTGGCGAAGTGTGTTTCTCACCACTGTTGCCACTGGCTTGTTGGTTTGGGACTTGTGGAGCTGCGCATCAATGGATTTGCTCTTCAGTGTTTGAAGTTTCAACAGTGAAAATTAAATCACACTGAACTGAACTAAACTGAATTTCAACTCTGAAAACTTCTCAGTTAAGCTGCTTTGACACAATCTACATTGCAATTACATTTGATGTTTATTTATTTATTGTTATTGCCACGAGAAGACAAAAAGGTATAGTCTATGTTTTAGTCCTATTATGAACAACATAACCTGCCAAACAAACAAAAACTGGTATGGAAAGAGCCCGAACCTTTTGTTTTTTTTAATTATTATTATTAGTAGTAGTAGTAGCAGTGGTAGTAGTATTTATGCTCTCAAATGAAATGGCATCTAGGGAAGCGCCGACTGATGACGACAGAGTTAGATCAAATTCGAGCGACTCCCAGTTAGCTGT